ACAGGTTGGGGGGCGGGCTTGGGGCAGGATGGAGCCCTGGTCGGGGTGGGTCAGATTACCATCTCTAGCCACACATGACAATTTTGGCAGTCCTTTATTCTATTATTTTCTCTTCTCTCCCCTTTCTTCATTATCTCTTTTAATCTCTCATAAAGCACTAACAAACATAACAAGTTAGTTTCAGAGCAACATTGGGACCTATTACCAATCAGTGCTACTATAACAGTTGCTGTCATCATCATTGTTGACCACTGATGTCAACAGGCCATATGACTGGTTAGGTCGATAAATGGAGGTAACCCTAGGTTTTGGTGGAGTTTGACTGTAGATGAACCTTGGTATTGAAATTTGTGGACATTTGGAACTGGTATACTATTTTTCTAGGTATTCAAATTCCTGGACTCAAATCACACGATTTGAGAATGAGTCTTTTTGGATCTAAGTTGTATGATAATCTAGAATCTTTTGGAAGTGTCTTGCATTGATTAGTGGAATACTAATGGTTTTGGACTGATTTTTTCAAACCATATTTGCTGCCCGGCTCTGTTTTGTCTCTTTTAAAGCTGCATGAGAGACTTGTTTTGTATACTTTCTATCCAGAAACCATGTTATACCATATCATTGAGGTCTGTCCTTTTTTTGCCTTAATACTTGGCTGGTTATGCACTCTTTCCCCAAGTGTTTAACAGTTTGTGTACTAACCTTTGAGAAGCATTAACAGTTTGTATACTTATCTCAAAAGGTGTGAATGATTTGTTCTCTTATCTTGGAATGTGTAAATAGTAAGAGTAGAACTAGTGGTCTCTAACACCGATTGAAAGGGCGGGTTTGGATACTACATGGGAGTGGGTGGAAGTCCCAATATTCTGATCACCACTATAAACTTGATGAAAATAGTTTCTTGGAGTGGTCTTAGCTTGCAAAATTATATGCAAGGATAGAGGAAAGATTGGATACCTCATGGAAAGAGATGAAACTGCCATCAGATATTGGAACCATGTAGCCACGTATTGCTTGGAACCAGACCTGTCCATGGCCCRGGCTTGGTTGAGCTTTTTTCAAAATTTGAATGGGCCCGGTCTGAAGCAGTGTAAAATGTTAATGGGCTGAGCCAAAGTCCAGCCTGTGAACAGGTCTACTTGCAATTTGATTGTAATGTTGTGGTTGTTTAGTTCCACAAAGATGAACATTGCTAGGATTTATAATTTATAACCAATTGTTGCACACACAAAAAAAAAAAAAAATGCTAGGAATTAAACGTTCTTACTCATTTCCAAGGACACCTGGGATAGTAGGGTTATAGCTATGTATTCTTAATGAGAAATCCAGGGTCCATTGACTTCAGAGAGAGATCARCAGTAACAAATATCGAAAGAGATAGGTCAATCAATATAGAAAATTCATTGAGAAGCACAGGGTGTTTAGGTTTACCTCTTGGATCTAGATTTACTTCTTAATGGAGTCCAATTGTTGAGAGGGTAGACAGCAAGTTAGCTTCTTAGAAGGCAATGTAGATGACAAAAGGGGACAAATTGACTCTTATTAAGTGTGTCTTGTCAAGCTTACATTATTATATGATGGCTCTGCTCCCAATTCCATCTTGCACGGCAACATTAATAGAGAGGAGAACGAGGGAGTTTCTTTGGTGAGGAGAGATGAGTTTAAATTCCACCTTGTGAGCTGGAAGAAGGTGTTCTCTTGGAGGAATTTAGGAGGCTCGGGGGTGAAAAGGATGAAAGAAATGAAATTGACCCAAATGGCTAAATGGTTCTGGAGGTTTAATGAAGAACTGATTTCTCTTTGGAGAAGGTAATCTTGCGTAGTATGGCACAAGGAACTGAGAGCAGGACCCAGGTTTTGGTTACCAGGTCTTATGGGTGTGCTCTTTGGAAAGGAATTGAAAAATCTTATTACTATTATAAAAGGAGTGACCTTTGATGTGGGGGATGGTGTTAGGGTTGGTTTTTGGGATGATAATTGGGCAGCAGTAGGCCCATTTAATAGGGCTTTCCCTTCCCCGTTTGCAATTGATCATATTAAAACAAATTATTTGGATGATATTTATGTCTATATAAATTGAAAACCTTACATTAATATAAATTTCCAAAACACAACCTATTGAAAACAATATAAAAGATGTTGAGGTACTAGGATGTATTTCAAGATGTATTCCAATGATATTTCATGTTGGTATCTATGGAAATAAAGATGGAGACATTATGGCTCCAGTTTTCTTCACGACTTTTATTACCTAGTATAGTACTGAATTTGAATTTTAATGGTTCTGCTCCCTATCTTGTGTTAAACCCTTCATTTTGTTCTCTATGTTATATCTACGAGAATGATACTTATGATCTTCGTTCAAGAGGGGCCCCTTTAACATGTTATATTGGATCCTAAAAACAGCCATACCCTTTGTATTGTTATTAATCCTGTCTGATCCCAATCCAGTGATCGAAAGTATCCCATGATATGAGTTTCTCTTGTTCAATTTTGACATGGATTCGTATCTCCTTATTGATACTTTATACTACGGAGATGCTCTAAGGATTTTGCACATAAGAATTCTTAGTGTCTGGAAATACAAAAATACACAACAATTTTAGAAAATCCCATATCTGACCACTTGGCTTCTGCATTATTAATTCATGAGCTGACAAATATAAAATGTCTTTGGTGTATAAATATCTTTCAACTCTACAATATTAACACCTTGTAGTTCTTGTTTATCATGCAAGACTGATTGATGCATTAGAGATGATGAAGCAAGGTGTGAGGCATCTCCTTGTGCCAAAAAGTATAGTGTGGAAAGGCGTGAGCAAGCGTTTCTCGGTTCTCTACAATGGCAAGTGGCTTAAAAACCTTGAGTCTTCCACTGGCACCAATGGTACCACAAACAGCATTCGGCCTACATCTTCCTCTTCAATGTCTGTCTGTGAGAAAAAGTTTTGCTGCTTATCAAGAGAGGATGTGATCCGTTTTATTATTGGGTGCCTTGGTGCTCTTGCTCCACTACCTCTCTCCTCCATCCTTTCCCTTGGAGCAGTCAACCCGAACTACAAATACATTGAGGCATCTACCCCAGCCATCAAGGCTACCCAAAAGCTTCCCCCAGACTATAGTGCAGTAGCTGTTGTTGAGTCCACATCAAAGGGCCATTGCAAGATCATCGGAGAGATATCAGCCTCCAAACTACGGAAATGTGATCATATAGCTGCTGCCTGGGCCCTTGGAAACCTGTCAGCAGGACAGTTTGTAATGGGGGTTTGTGATGAATCTGATGATATAACCCCAACGTCTCTTCCTGATTTTTCAATCAATTCTATAGTCAACGAGGATGGTTGTGACGTTGGTGGGTTGAGGCCAAGGAAGTTCTGTAGTAGGAGCATTGGGTTCACTAGTAATTCAACAAGCCCAACTATAGGAAGGAGCATCTGTACAGGGAATGCACCCTTGACATGCAAGGTTACATGTTCATTGGCGGCAGTCATGGCTCATATTCTGTCTCGCAGGGCAACCCATGTCTGGGTTACTGACTCTGAGAGTGAAGATATCTTGGTTGGGGTGGTCTCTTACACCGACATCCTGGTTGCTGTGATTAAACACCCTTCTACCATTGCTTGTGTAAATAATTGATTTTGAGGGTTTTCTTTTTGTTTTTCCCTATTCTTTTTTATGGGGCTCAAGTTGAGCATAAATATGCTGATTTATGCCTTTTTTGACGAAATAGAATAGTCATTCGTTTTTCCCTTCTAATTCTTTTACATTATGCCCCATCATATATTTGTTGTAGAGTTGGATGTTTGTTGTGAACAAATAATAGTGTTTAGTTCTTTTTTATAAATCCTCTCCACCCATCTCCACCCTCCTCGAGTAGGATTTCAATTTAGACGATGTTTTAAAAATGTTGTTGACCCAGGTGGTCAAACCGTTTGATCCAGAAACTGGTCATGTTCCCGGTTCTGTTTATGTCCTGGGTTGCTGGACATCAAACCGGCCGTTTGAATCGACCGAAGCCGGTGATCTGGATGGTTTAGCCATCAAACCAGCCGTTTGGCCTGGTTAACGGTTCATGGGTTGCATTTAAATAAAAACTTCTTATCGAACTATGGAGTTTGGACGATGATCTGCAGTGGTGAACAGAACGATGACCACCCTCTTGGGTGGCAAACATAACTGGAGTAAGAACTCACATCGTCTGCATCCTGGATTTAGAAAGTTTTCTGCATCCACCAATAAGAAGAGAACACGTCATATAATGATGTTAGATGCATTTCAACTAACGGAGTCCAGACTTTTAGCGGGCGTCTAGACTACAAAAACGAAAGGAGATTGGGCGGGTTTAACAAGATTTAAAAGTTTTTGGAGTCTAGASACCTTTTAAAGTCTGGACTCTGTTAGTTGAAATGCATCTAACATCTATATATGACGTGTTCTCTTCTTATTGGTGGATGCAAAAAGTTTTCTTCATCCTGGATGCAGATGATGTGAGTTCCTCGAGCAACTACCAAAATGACAAAAGAAAGAGGGTTTTCTTTAGTCCATTACGATACTACCCTTTTTCTTAATAGAATCTGTAGTTGATACATTTTCTTTTTGAAGCCTTATAGCAAACATCATTCATTAAATGCCCATATTACAATTAAGCAAGCACAGAGAGAAAGAAAAGAGAAAAACCGACCAAACTTGCTGAGCAAGAAAAGAGAAAAACCGACCAAACTTGCTGAGAAATAATAAAGTAACCATAATCATTGGGAGAGAAGATCTTGAGAAAGCTTCTGCCTTCTGCTAGTGGCAAAAAATTTGAAAATGACAGAGGGATAACTACCTCTAACTCTCCAAGGCTCTAATATAGACCAATTCAAGTGTGAATTCCTTAACAATCCTACACTTTGTCCCTGGTGACGGTCCCAAAGCAGGCAGCTAACCCTGAGAATGAAAATTTGATCTCATTGAAGTAACCACAAAACTGTTTTGCCAACAAAGTATTTGAGAGTATTCCTGTTGGCAGACCAAAACCATAAGAAGAAACATGAAAAACCTCATTACTGATTGCTGCCAAGAGGCTTAGTAAGTACACAAGTTTAGCCATCGCAGAATTGGCGATAAAGGTCATGATAACACAAAGGTAACAACTACAGGATCCACGATGGAAGTCATGTCCACTACCAAAGTAAGTGCAATCACACATCCAATAACCAACAGTGCAAGTCCTTTTGTCTTGAGTCGTAGTTTGTTAAGGCTATGGAGGTGTGCGATGTGAGTTCGGCTTTGGTCAGGGCAAAGCCATTTGGGCAGCTTTTATTGCCTTGATTTGATAATATTCCCGTACTTGTGTGTTTTATTTCATAGGGAGATATTCCGAATGCAAGGTTACAAAAAGTTGTTAGAATGGTATGGGCACAAATTTGCCCTGATAGAAGCCGATCTCGTGCGATGTTACTCATGATGTCACACCACCTCCCTAACAACAGCAACATCGCCTCAAAAGCATCCTCACAAAAGATAACACCATGACAACAATAATGTACTAGGAACACCACATCACAAGATAATAGTATATGGAAATTGTAGCACATGACCAGCCCTGCGATCATGTTGCTGCTCAACTTGACATTGCAAGGTGATGGAGGGTGATTTGACCCGACCTCGCAGCACGGGTACATGTGGGTGTGACCTTGCTCAAACAGTGACTCAGCATGACAGCGCAACGAGCGTGAGCACAACTCGGAGGGAAAGTCCCACCGAGTCCAGCTCGGCAACACGGCAGGTAAACTACTCGCCAGAAGCCACCTTACCCGCACCTCCTCCTGGGGTTAAGGCACTTTGGGGCATCCCGAGTTCGGGGCGCCCTGACCTCTCTTAAGGCCCGAGCTCCTCCCAATTAGACCTCAGGCCACTCCCAGGCAAGAATGCACCGATCCATCTCTGGACACCCCGAGGCATAGACACCTCGGGTCAGCTAGTTCAGCATAACTGGCTACAGGCAGCCCGTCACTCAAAGGACAGCTCGACTCAGGGTAATTCGCGGGAGGCTAGTTCGGTATACCACAAGAGGGCTTCCTGCTTGACCGCCATACCCGACAAATCTGTGGACAGCAGACATGTCCCTCATCAGATAGCGCTGTGTCTACCACCTTTAGAAAGGTGTCCCGCACCTGACAGACACGTACCCTGCAACGACGGCCCCACGCGTGCCACCTCAGCCTTGCCTGTAACGGCTGTGGCAGACCGACAGTGGCGGTTATACCTGCCCTGTCAGAAGTCAGAGGGTCTGAAGCAACGAAATTCAGTTATAAGGGGCTTATTCTCAAGAAACAAGGTATCTTCGAATCACCTGCGCAACCTGCACTCTTAGCCTTCGTTTTCCTTTTGCTTCTTGCACACAATACTGACTTAAGCATCGGAGCGTTCCCACCGGGAAACCCCTCGTGAGTTCTTCCTCTTTCCTCTCGTCTCAGGTACCACTCAGGAGCCACGTGAGTGCCAGCTAGGAGTGACCAGATCGAGCTACATCAATTGGCGCCGTCTGTGGGAAACGCTTCAAAAGGCCTTTCTCTCTAAACTTTCTTAGTTTTTTTTCTTCCTTGAAACAATCCAACGCTCATGGATTCCTCTAGCAATGTCGGACGAAGCACGAAAATGGATAACTCCAGGGAACAACCCCAGCTTCCTACTGTCTGTATCGGACAGTTCACCGTCCCCCTCTCAGCGGACGGAATCCCCAGCTTGAATGTGCCTCTTACAGTGGTACCTATCATCGCCCCACTCCCTGCTACAGTCGGAGCGACGTTCACCGAACCTTCGGTCGTGCCCCCAGCGGCCAGCCCAAACCAACTAGAGGACTTGCAGTGTATGCGGGCCATGCATGCCCAAATGCAATAGTTCCAACAACTTCAGCTCTATCAACAACACGTACTGCACCAGGTCTCCTAGTATCAGTATCAGCAGCAGTTCCCCCAGCTGCCTCAACCTCAACTTCAGTAGCCGCAGTTCCCGCCTCGGCACCCAGCCTCGCAGCAAGCTAAGTTTCGCCGCCAGACGAGAGAGACTGGCCAAGGAGAGGCCCCTCAAAACCTCCCAAAACACCAGGCCTCCCCCCGCGGCAGACGAGAGAGACCRGCTACCCCGATCTCACCGCGGGCGGACAGGTCGGGAGGACCCCATCTCGCCAGGTCTACATCACCTCGGTAGTCGAAGTTTGAAGCCCCGCTCCTTGAGAACCGGTTCGAGGTCCTAGCAATAGACTCCAAGCAGGATCCCTCTGTCTGCAGCCATCACCAGTAGACCGGGCTACTTTCTGCACAAACCATTCCGGACAACGCAAAGGTGAGCAGCACGAACGTCGAGCACACCAAGAAGCAGAGACGCCGCCGCCGAGCTCGCCGATCTGTCACCCGCGATTTGCCCGAGCTCATGGGCAAAGAAGAGGTAAGCTCGGTCGAAGTCAAAGCTCCC